AAGGAGTCGGGCGAGGGGGCGGGGGCGGGACCGAGGAGAGGCTGCCCCGGGGTGGAGAACTTTCTAACAATTGTTCAGCAGGGCTCTAGAGTCTAGGCGAAAGACAGAAGCCTTCGGCTCTGATCCTCCCACTAGCGGGACACAACTTGGTTGTCATTGTTCGTCCCGAAGCGGAAGGAACTAAAGCGGGAGAAAGAAAGGCACGGGGTTTGGTTTTTGTTGTTTTCTTTCCAAAGACTACAATAATAATCTATGGCGACAGCACAGCAGAGTCGCGTGGGAGAGTGAGCTTAGCTCCCCGCCCCGCCGAAGGAGGAAGAAAAATAAATCACAGAAAAGCTGAAAAGCAGCTTGCAGGAAGGAGCAGCTTTCCTTGCTTTTCTTTCTCCTCTTCTTTTGATCAGCCTGCAGAAGCCCACCCGAGACACAGCTCCTCAAGACCCCTTTTCCTTTCTTTCTTCACCCCCTTGCTTTATCTTTCTTACCCCTTCTTCCCTTTTCCCAGATCCCAGGCTCACTCTGGGTCCCTGTCTCCCCTCGTGAACCAGGCCACTCCGGCCCGCCGGCAACAAGGACTAGGCGGGGCACAGAGGAGGCTCCGCCTCTTGGGCGGGCTGAGCACTCTGTCATGGGCGGAGTAGGTCCTGAGGTGTAAGTCTCGCCCACCATTCTTTTGCATCTTCTCATTGGCTGGTTCCGGCCTGCGACTGGCCTACGATTGGTCCTTGCAGTCGCCAATTTGTTCCTCTGGTCCCATCCGCCCTCAAAATTAATAAAACTAAACAAGAGACTATTGTCTAGCTCTGTTCTCCCCTAGCTTCTGCTGGGAATATAAAGATGAGACGCTTGATTCCTCAGTTTCGTGAAAGGGTCCGGCAGTGTGTCGTCCAGCTGCAGTACAACTATATCACTGTCCAGGTCTCTGGGAACAGGCAATGTTTCCATCTTAATTCATTAAACCAAAAGGGGAGAAAGTACATGATGTGTCAATGTGGTCTTCACATTTCCTGGCTGCCAAAAACAAAATGGTATTGCTTAAATACACGGAGAGTTAAGTACAGCAACATCCAAGGACACGAAAAAATCTACCATTTTACAACTGGGAAAAAGAAAACACAAAAAAAGGCAGTGTAGGGGTAGCAAAATAACAAGGAATTTGGAACCAAAGGAAGAATTCACTGTGGGTGCTGGCACTTATTAGCTAGCTGTGTGACTTTTAAGTGGCTTCTCAGACTTAATTTTCTTATCTGAATGTACAAGCTATAAGGCATGTCCTATTAACTTAATGGCAATGATGTGAAAATAAAATAAAATGTATGTGAAAACTCTATAAGCCACAAAGCATTCCATACATGTATGTGTTTCTACTTGTGTATGACATGGTGGAGACACATGTCTTTGAGAATCAGATATCCCCCTCATCTGTTTTAAGCATTTCCATCCCAGGTTGTGTAGCTTCTGTGGTTTTATTTTGAAAAATCAACTTTTTTTTTTCCTATAGCTTTGAGAGTAGATGTAACGTTGGCTTCCTACAGTTATAATAATAAATTCTCTCCTAACCAGGGTGAGTGAGTTTTCTTTTTCAAACAATTCTGCAGTTTCACTACAAGGTAAATCTATTGAGCTGCTCAAGCTGAAGAGGAAATCATGCTGTGTATCTCCAAAGTAACCTCGATAAACAAATATGGAGAAACATTTACCATGGAAACCACCATTCTCTACATAGCCATATAGCCTAGAAAACATTTTGAGTAGAAAACAAATCTGCACCCGTCAATGCAGAGTTGTTATAAAGAATCCATGCCAGTGAAAGAGGGCATCCGATTCAAGCCTGCCTAATGGGGGAACTTTGGGAGGGACCATGGATTAAGGTATCCAAAAGGAAATGTGCTCAAAATGAATACTGTCTCAGGATAAACAGGGTCTCCAAATATCCCCCTTAGTGCAGGAAAAGTAGTGGGCAGATGGCCTGTTGTACAGTGTACAGTGAGTACAGTGAGTTCTGCTGGGAGCTGGTGATTCAGAGGCTAGAGCAGTGGCAAAATGGATTCTGCATATGATTCACTCTATGTGTGAAGTGATGTTGTTTGGGTGATTTTTCATGAGGAAGGTGAGGCTTTTTTTGAGACATTTGTTTTGTGAAGCATGATTATTCTGACCTTGTTATTTGGAAGCATGGAGAAGAGAGCTAGAATGGGTGAAAATATCCTAAGGGATTACTACTGATCACAAAGGCAACAGGAAACTTGTTAAAATCAACAGTACTGTTAAAATGGAAGAAAGTAAAATATGCTCATGGTAAAATGAAAGTAAAACAGTAAGGAAAGAGTCCAGTGACAAGTGAGGTCAGAACTCACAGCATACCCTGATTTTATTTACTTAACAGAATGTCTGAAATGTCCTTTTATCTCGGGAAAGCTACCTTTACCCTTACTTTTTTATAACTCAGCATTTCATTGCAAACACGTGCAAAATTCTTCTACTCATTCCCCTAGTAAGAGAACACTTTCCAGTCTTTTGTCACCACAGAAACCGCCTGGTGGCTCTGTTTGTGATATGCTTGTTCCTAGCCTTGAAGTTACTATCAAAATTTTTTTTTGCCAAAATGCCTTCCCCATAGCTAATGGAACTTACAAGTATAAACCCCGAAAGCACAACTCTTTCAACACCCCTTTCTCAAGCACTGCTTTGGACATGACTCTTCAGCAAATTCAAATTTTGATGGTGAAGCAGGCCATGTGTGAGTCATTTATTTCTTAGCCTGTGGCAAATAACAAGTTTTTAGGACTCTCTGCTTTCCTGAGTCTTCCAAGTGTCTTAAGGTCTTAGGTGTTCCTTTTCTCCTGCCACGCAAGACTTCCTCTGTTTTTACCCTGAAAACCTTTCAGTTTGTTTAACCTGAGTTTGAATTTAAAACTCTGCAATACCTGCTCTACTTAAAAGGGAGGGAGACGGAGAGGGCAACATCAACAAACATCCATTGAACTGCTATTACGGACAGGACTGAAAAAACAAAAAGGTATAAGGCTTGGCTCCTGCCTTCCAGGATACATACATAAAAAGCCAACTAACAAGTGTATGTTAAGTTCTAAATGAATGGTATTGACAGTAAAAGCTGTGCAAGTTAAGAGCAGGGAGTGAAAACTAGTTCCAGAGTGGGTTTATACAACAAACTATGCCACACACATTTAAGTAATCCCCATAGCATCCTTGTGTCTCCATGTCCTGACTATAAATGATGGAAAACCCTCTGGGGGATACCAGGAGCATTAACAACTAGATGTGAAACACCTGTGTAAAAACATTGGGTTGCTGAAATGCTGCATATTAAAAAAATTCTTATTATGCGGGAAAAGTTCATCTTAAGCCAAGAACTCAAGATTCTTCATCTCATGCTACATACCACATTTGACCTTCTTGTCTTAAAATAAAATTCCTCATTTATTGATTTTTTTTTTGAAACAGGGTCTCACTAGGTAGCCCCAGCTGGCCTGGCACTAGAGTCACTGGCCACCACCTCCTGAGTGCTGGGTTTAAAAGCATGCACCACCATGCCTGGCTTGCCCAGTGTTTTAATTGTATTGAATGCCAACACAATGATGGAGGCTACAAGGAAATAGAAGGCAGGACTCATGTGAAGGGGCAGCTGAGGCATTACCTTAGGTCAACACAGGCCCATGTTATCAGGACTTATATCTAACCTTTCAAGAGAAATTAGAAGTCATAGGCACTTCTTAGAAATTTTCATTTTTGAAATTTTGGTAACTAAAAAATATCTTATTTAGAAATTCCATCTTTTGCATCAAAAACTTTGCCTGTATATTAGGGCAAGCAGAAAGGAGCGTGTACTTACAGATTATTCCTCAATCCTTCCTATGAAGACCATAAAATCATAGTGCTTTGCACTGAGTGACATTGTCCCCTACTCCCCTACCTAAGTCGACTGGGAGTGTGAAATGAGCAAGGCTTCCTCTAATTGCCTTGTGAACAACTAAATCATTTAAATGCATTTAGGAACAAAAGCAAAGGCAAGTGTATACATTAGGGAAAATAAATCCTAAGGATTTATGTCGTCACACACAGTTCTGCCCTTTTCTGTCCCCTGAAACACTCTCCAGATATATAAAAAAAACATGAAAATTCTCATTCAACAGTATACCCCCTAAAGGTCAGGCCCCAGTTTCTTTCTACAGGCCCCAGCCCTGAAGATGCTGATGGCAGTGGATCAGAAAAGAGCAGGTTTATCTGAACTGGAAAGGAACAAAGGACAGATAGGCAATGCAAGCACGGAGTTAAGTACTCTTTCGTAAGGATCCCCTTCCTCCCCTTTCTACCTTTCCCAAGCATATAAACACACATAGACACACAGACACACACAGACATACACAGACACACACAGACACACACACACATACAGACACACACATGCACACACACACACACACACACACACACACAAAATCAAGACACAGGAAGTTTGAATCCTGATCTATGTGTGGAAAACAACAATGTCAATATTCAGGAAGCAGTACCAGAACTGCACTCCAAGGCTAAGACCTGCATACCATTTGGGAGCCAAGTTACTCCTGGGGTCCTTGTGGGCCCCAGAATTTTGGAAGCAAATCTGCTGTAAGAAAATAAAACTGCCTGCAACTCTATTCCCCATGCAACTCCTATGGTACTGTTTGAGTAACCCGTGTTTGCCTCTTTATGATTTATGTAGGGCTTCATTTCAGCTTAACTAAATACTATATCTTCTTCAGCAGTTTGAGTTTCTGGAAAGGTCCAAGCTGGGCATACCTCACAGAAGGGATTGTTTGCAAATTTCTAGGTTATGTGGATCAAGGAAGATGTAAGAACACTGTGGAGCAGACATTAAAGCCTGTGCTCTGAAAGGTGGAGGGATGTGAGGGAGACTATATTG